CCTATCTCATCCATTGGCGATGTATCGCCGATTCCAGGTCGACGTGTCCCACCCTTTCGGTCACTTGAGGCTGGTGTACGTGACGCGCCACTGACGGCACCACCGCCGCATCATTTTGCTTGTTCCGGTATTTCGCCGCCGGGTTTCTGTGCAACGCGTTCTTTTGCATGCACGTCGCCTTCGGCGCCGCCTGATTCCGGGGCTTTGCCCTCTCTTGGCCTTGACGTGAGGCCCTTCCGTCTGCCTTCCCCCCTCTGTCAATTAAAGCTGTGCGCGGCCCGCTTAGTTTCGACTGGAAGAGTTTTCGTTGGTTCTCGGCGGTTTTCTGGCGTCGTGGTGCCTTCCAGCAGCTGCGCCTCGCCGGGGGCGTTCTGGGGGTGCCCGGATCGCCCCGAACGGTTGTCGAAAACCCGAAGTGCGACCCGAAAGCCAGGCGACGAGGATCGGGGATATGCGCAGAGGGGGGATGCAGTGGCCCACTCGTTGACGATAGGGGGGGCCCTGATAGCCGGCGTCGCCCAGGAGGTTGCGGACCCTCTGTCGGGGGCCTATCTCCAATCCATTGGCGATGTATCGCCGATTCCAGGTCGACGTGTCCCCCCCTGTCGGTCACTTGAGGCTGGTGTACGTGACGCGCCGCTGACGGCACCACCGCCGCATCATTTTGCTTGTTCCGGTACTTCGCCGCCGGGTTTCTGTACAACGCGTTCTTTTGCATGCACGTCGCCTTCGGCACCGCCTGATTCCGGGGCTTTGCCCTCTCTTGGCCTTGACGTGAGGCCCTTCCGTCTGCCTTCCCCCCTCTGTCAATTAAAGCTGTGCGCGGCCCGCTTAGTTTCGACCGGAAGAAGTTCGCTGTCGACCCGCGGATCAAAACAAATGCCCCCCCTGTGAGCCGTTCCTTCACGTTGCCCCTGAAGATGCCGGCGGCGTTCCAAGGCGGGACAGGACCCGCCACGGGCGACGACGGCGACGGCCACACCTTCGGCGGCGACCCAAATTCCCGACGGATTAGTTTTTATTTCCAATCCGTGGGCCCCATGGGTCTCGCCCCCTCCCTGGGGATCGCGCCTCCGTCCCGCATCCATCTCCAGAGCCCCGGGGCCGAAAAATTGCCCCTTGTGGCCCCGAGGAGCCCAAAACGGCACCCCCTGAGCGACGACGGCGGCGACGGCGACGGCGAATGCTCTGGCGGCGACCCAGATTTCCGACGCATTGATATTCAATCCGTGGGCCCCAGAGGTCTCGGCGCTTCCCCGGGGACCGCGCTTCCGTCCCGGATCTGGAGGGTTTCTCCGAAGGGCTTAGGCGACCCCCCCTGCTGCTGCTTTTTCTCCTCTCCTCCTCCTCTTCCTCCTCCTCCTCCTCCTCCTCCTCCTCCTCCTTTTCCTCCTCCTCCTTGGCCTCCTCCTCCTCTTCCCTCCTCTCCTCCTCCTACCTCCTCCCTCCTCCTCCTTCCTCCTCCTCCTCTCCTCCTCCTCCTCTCCTCCTCGTCCTCCTCCTCCTCCTCCTCCTCCTCCTCCTCCTCCTCCTCCTCCCTCTCGTCCTCCTCCTCCGGGGAACGGCCTTTGGGGCCCCCCAAGGGGCCGTTTTGTTCTCCCTGTCTGGTTAAGATTGGCTGGCTTTGTTAAGCTGTGGTGGGCCCCCACGCCAGGGGCGCCCAGGCGACCACTTGCTGCGTGGTCGGTCTGACCACAAATCCAGCCGATGCTCTGGTCCGTGGGCCCCAAGGGCCCTCAGAAACCGATCCGGGTGCACGGTTTCCCCGGGGCCGTAGGCGACCCGAGGAGGAGGAGGAGGAGGAGGAGGAGGAGGAGGAGGAGGAGGAGGAAGAGGAGGAGGAGGAGGAGGAGGACGAAGAAGAAGAAGAAAACGAAGAATAATAAAAATATTATTAATATTAATAATAATAATGATAATAATAATAATAAGAAAAATAAGAATAATAATAATAAGAAGACGAATACGAATAAGAAGACTAATCATAATACTATTAATAATGATAATAAGGATAATAATAAAACGAAGACGAAGACGAATAAACATAATAATAATAGTAATAATAATAATAAGAATAGGAAGAGGAATACTAATAATAATAATAATAAGAATAATAATAAGAATACTAGGAATGAATAGTAATAAGAAGAAGAATAAGAATCATAACAATAATAATACTACGAATCATAAGAATACGAATAATGACAATAATAATAATAATATTGATAATAATAAGAATAATAGTAATAATATTAATAGTAATAATAATACTAGTAATGATAAGAATAATAATAATACCAATAATAGTAAGAAGAATACTAATAATAATGAGAATAATAATGCTATGAAGAATACTACTAATACTAATAAGAAGACAAATAATAATACTAAGAATACTAATAAGAAACATAAGACAAGACGAATAATAAGAATAATAACAATACGACGCATAATAATAATAAGACTAATAATAATAATAAGACGAAGAAGAATACTAGTAATACTCAGAATAATAATAAGAATACTAAGAATAATAAGAATAAATCATAATCATGAGAATCAGAATGATAAGACGAATAATACTAATACTAAGAATAATACTAAGACTCAGAATGCTAAGAGTAATAATAATAATGATGATGATGATAATAATAATAATATTAATAATAATAATTTTAAAAAGAATAATAATAAGAATAATAAGTATAATACTATTAAGAATAATAATAAGAAGAATATTACGAATCATAAAAATAAGCATAATAAGACGACTAATACTAAAAATAATAAGAATAATAAGAATCATAAAAATAATAAGAATAATACTAATAATACTAACAATAAGAAGAACAAGAAGAAAAATACGAAGAGGAGGAGGAGGAGGAGGAGGAGGAGGAGGAGGAGGAGGAGGGAGGAGGAGGAGGAGGAGGGGGAGGGGGAGGGGAAGGAGGAGGAGGAGGAGGAGGGAGGAGAGGAGGAGGAGGAGGAGGAGGAGGAGGAGGAGGAGGAGGAGGAGGAGGAGGCGGAGGAGGAGGGCGGAGGCGGAGGCGGAGGCGGAGCGGAGGCGGAGGCGGAGGCGGAGGCGGAGGCGGAGGCGGAGGCGGAGGCGGAGGAGGAGGCGAGGAGGAGGAGGAGGAGGAGGAGGAGGAGGAGGAGGAGGAGGAGGAGGAGGAGGAGGAAGAGGAGGAGGAGGAGGAGGAGGAGGAGGAGGAGGAGGAGGAGGCGGAGGAGGAGGAGGAGGAGGAAAAGGAGGAGGGAGGAGGGAGGAGGGAGGGAGGAGGAAGGCGGAGGAGGCGGCGGAGGCGGAGGAGGCGGAGGCGGAGGCGGAGGAGGCGGAGGAGGCGGAGGAGGACGGAGGAGGAGGAGGAGGGAGGAGGAGGAGGAGGAGGAGGAGGAGGAGAGGAGGAGGAGGAGGAGGAGGAGGAGGAGGAGGGAGGAGGAGGAGGAGGAGGAGGAGGCGGAGGAGGAGGAGGAGGAGGAGGAGGAGGAGGAGGAGGAGGAGGAGGAAGAGGAGGAGGGAGGAGGAGGAGGAGGAGGAGGAGGAGGAGGAGGAGGAGGAGGAGAGGAGGAGGAGGAGGAGGAGGAGGGAGGGGAGGATGAGGAGGCGGAGGCGGAGGATGAGGATGAGGATGAGGAGGCGGATGAGGATGAGGATGAGGGAGATGAGGAGGATGAGGAGGATGAGGAGGATGAGGAGGAGGAGGAGGAGGAGGAGGAGGAGGAGGAGGAGGAGGAGGAGGAGGAGGAGGAGCTCAGAAGGTGGTGCGGGCCCACCGCTGGCTCTCTTTTGGGCCGTCTCGGGCCGCGGGGCCGTCGGCAGAGTTTCCCCAGCAGAGGGCCCCAGGAGCAGCAGAAGATGCAGCCGCGACAGGGGTGAGAGCACCGCCATGTGCACCTCAGCGTGCACCTGTCACAGGGGACCGTGGCCGTCCGGGCCAAACAGGCAGCCGGCATCGAGGCGAGAGCCGGATTCCCGAATAGTTGTCGGGGGGTCTCGGGCGAAACGGCTGGCAGCACCTGGCAGGCACGTGCTCCCCGCCCCCGCTGTTCAAGCAGTGGCGAAGCGTCCACCGAACAATGCTCTAAGAACCTCTGTTGTTTTTGCGCGACATGTTCTCACAGCATTTCCGGCTGAGGCCGTCTGTCTCGTCTTAATCCATCGGCGTTCTGTTCTCAGAACTTTGTTTCCGTTCTTATACAATTCTTTTGTTTTGTGACTGAATACTTAGTGGTAGGCCTACAGGAAAGCCCAGACGGTCGGTTCCTGCTTAACCAGTGGGACCCTTTTGTGTTTTTTGGGGCAGTATGACAAACCTCGAGCGAATCTCTATTCGGGAAAAGCGGCTCTGGACGAGGAGGCGGGGGCCCTGGAGACGTGGTCCCGAGAGGTTCGAGGTCCACGTGGCATCGAGCAGAACCAAGCGCCGGCTGCCTGGGCTCGGAGTACCCGCTTGGGGCCGAAGTCTCCGGATGACGTGCCTGCTGACCCATGCAACGGCAAGAGGCAAGGCGACGGCATCTGCCAGAGGCAGGGCAAGATGGAAGCAGGAGGGGCAGAAGGGACGGGGTAGGGGGAGGAGGAGGAGGAGGAGGAGGAGGAGGAGGAGGAGGAGGAGGAGGAGGAGGAGCCGGAGGCAGAGGCAGAGGCAGAGGCAGAGGCAGAGGCGGCGGCGGCCGCGGCGGCGGCGGCGGCGGCGGCGGCGGCGGGCGGCGGCGGAGGAGGAGGAGGAGGAGGAGGAGGAGGAGGACGTCGGGCACCAGGCAGTGGCCGTGCGCCTGGTCCTCGACATCCTCCTCGATCCTCGGGGGGGGTCGAGGGCAGACCTCTGCAGTTGGATCCTCTCTGTCCGCCGCCGTCGCCGCCGACTGTCGACAAAGCCTCGCATTGTTGTCGTGGTCGTTGTCGTCGTCGTCGTCGTCGTCGTCGTCGTCGTCGTCGTCGTCGTCGTCGTCGCCGTCGCCGCCGCCGCCGCCGCCGCCGCCGCCGCCGCGGCGGCCAGGCGACGCCCCCGCGCCGCCGGCAAGCGCGGGGCAGCCCACCGCCCCTCGCCCCGCGGCGGGGCGGGCCACTGGGTGCGGCGGCTTCTCGTGAAGATTTCTGGGCCAGTGGCATCATGGTCACCAAGGTTTCGGGCGTTTCCTCTGGTTCCTGGAGGAGAAGGAGGAGGAGGAGGAGGAGGAGGAGGAGGAGGAGGAGGAGGAGGAGGAGGAGGAGGACGAGGAGGACGAGGAGGAACGAGGAGGAGGAGGAGGACGAGGAGGAGGAGGAGGAGGAGGAGGAGGAGGTTCTCGGCGGTTTGCTGGCCTAGGAGTTCTCTCCAGCAGCTGCGCCTCTCCGAGAGCGCTCCAGGGATGCTCCGATAGTCCCGACCTGCCTCCACGGAGTGGAGGTATGAACACCAAAACCGGGGGGCAACCTTCTCCTCCTTCTCCTCCTCCCCCTCCTCCTCCTCCTCCTCCTCCTCCTCTTCCTCCTCCTCCTCCTCCTCCTCCTCCCTCCTGGATATGGTAGCGGTGGTGGAAAAGGGGCCCGTCAAGTTCATGAGAGAGTAATGGCTCAGGGGGTGCCGTTTTTGGCTTCTCGGGGCCTCAGGGGGCAGTTTTTTTGGGCCCTGGGGCTCAGGAGACGGACGCGGGACGGAGGCGCGATCCCCGGGGGTGGGGTCCACGGAGGCCTCTGGGGTCCACGGATTGGAAGGAAAAATCAATCTGTCGGGAGCCTGGGTCGCCGCCGTCGCCCGTGGCGGGTCCTGTCCCACCTTGGAGCGCCGCCGGCATTTTCAGGGGCAATGTCAGGGAACCGCTCACAGGGGGGCACACGTCGACCTGGAGTCGGCGATACATCGCCAATGGATGGGCGATGGGCCCCCGACAGCGGATCCGCAGCCTCCTGGGCGACGCTGGCTATCAGGGCCCTCCTGTCGTCAACAGGATCCGCTCAGGTTGGACGATGGGAGCCTGTCGATGCATTTGCCAGTTTCGTGCTGACGCTGCGTCCCTTGCGGGGGCTCTTCTTTCTGAGACGGTATCGATGTGCATGCAAAAGGCTACGTCAGCACTCAATCCTGATCGATCCCTTCTCCTCCATCCTCCTCCTCCTCGTCCTTCTCCTCCCTCCTCGTCCTCCTCCTCCTACTCCTCCTTCCTCCTCCTCCTCCTCCTCCCTCCTCGTCCTCTGCTCCTTCCTTCTCCTAGTTCCTCCTCTTTCCTGCTCCTCCTTCTCCTCCCTCCTGCTCATCGTCGTCGTCGTCGTCCTCCTCCTCCTCCTCCTCCTCCCTCCTCCCCCTTCTTCTTTCTTCGCGCCCACCTCTATTTCCCTCCTCCTTTCTCGTCCTTCTCGCACCTCCTTCTCCTCCTTATGATCCTACCTCCTCTTCCTCATCTTCACGCTTTTCCTCCTTCTCCTTTTCCTCATGTGGTCGCAAAGATCAAATCCTCCATCTCCTCCATCTCCTCCCCCCTCTCCTGTAAGTTATTCTACAGAGCAGCCAAGACTTACGCGCGCAGGAGGTGTCCGTCGTCACCCCCCACCGTCGGCATCGCTTCTCCTTGTAAATGAACTTTTCCTTGTCGCCCCTCCCCCAAGCGTGTCCGCAGGGCCTGGCCGGGCGTTCGGGCAGAGACTTCCACTCCATGTGTCATCCTGAGGCTTGAAGTTGGTACCTGCTTCAAAGACGGAGTGGGGGCAGTTTTCTAAATGAGCGACGCCAACACACGAGGTTGTCGGCGCCAACATTCGCGCGTAAGCTGCCCGCGTAAGCTCGCGCGTAAGCGCCCTCGTCTCTAATGTAGCGTGCCGCGCTGGCGGTCCGCGTAAGCCGCCGCGTGAGGCCGCTACGTCATGTCGCGTAACAAGCGTTTTTGATCGTCGCTCAAATGGGGATCTCGCCATTGCGCTGCGCATATTAGTCTCAAACGTTAGCAGCTGCTACCGGTGGAGGGGGGCCATGTTCAAGCTGGGTCTCTCGCCTACGTTCTGCGCGTGTTGGTTTTCAGACAATGCAGCGGTTTCAAGGACGGATGGGGGGATCGGTTTAAAGTGGAGCTCTCGCCCTTGAATTGTGCACATTCGTCTCAAGAGTCTGCAGCACTTACACGGATGGAGCTTGGGTCGGCTCCAAAATGGGGCTCTCGCCATTTGCGCCGCGCCTGTCGCATGTTCGTCCTACGAGTTTGCAGCACTTGCACGAGCTCAGGGCCGTTCCTCAGTATCGTTTAACCGATCCCCATCCCCATCATCCTCTTCGAGACCCCCACCAAAGTACCACCCCAGTTGGGGATACTCTTCTCGAAACCCGAAGGGAACGGCCTAGATCCCCATCTAGGGGGGTAAATCGGCCAGCGGGGCCCAGGCCACGCCGCTGGGGATGGGGTCGGATAAACGATGCTCAGTTCATTTTTTTCAAAGGGGGCGCTCGTCGAAGCGCCGCGCACATTCGTCTCAAACGTTCGTATCGTTTGCAAGGATGAAAACGGGTCGCTTTCAAAACGGAGCTCTTGCCGTCGCGCCGCGCGCATTCGTCTTGAACGGTTTGGAGCAGCTACATGGGTGGAGGGTGGTTCGTTGTCAATGTGGCTCGCGCTTGAGAATTCTTCGAAGTTCAGTATCGCTGAACTGATCCCTGTCCCAATTCCCATCCCCATCCCGATCCCCACCATCCCACCACTCCAGTTGGGGACATGTCCCTCGAAGCCCGAAGGGAGCCGCCTATATCCCCATCTCGGGGGTAATTTGGCCAGCGGGGCCCAGGCCACGCCAGTGGGGATAGGGATCGGTTAAACGATGCTCAGAAGTTCATCCGCAATCATGTAACCTTGTGTAGCAGTTACACAGATGGAGACGTTCCTCTGCCAGAACGCGAATCTCGGTGGACACCTCGTTGAGCTGTACGACCATACATTATCGTATTCCTCCTTCGTCGCTGGAAGGATACCTACCTATACGACCGCCCTGCGGGCGATAAGGAGGTTGGGGGGGGGATTGAGATCAAATGCCCACCCTGACTGATCTCCAGCCTGTCACCTTGGCGCCGACAAAAATGAATTGATGGATTGGGTTGGGTGGATTGGATTGGATGGGATAAGATGGATTGGATAAGATAAGATGGGTTGGATTGGAAGATATGTATTGGTAAGATAAGATGGATTGGATTGGCCTGCCGCAGGCGCAGAAACAAATGAATTGATGGATTGGGTTGGATGGATTGGATTGTGTGGGATAAGATACGATGGGACCATTATGGGTTGGATAAGATAATATGTATTGGATTGGACAATACGTATTGGATATGATAAGCCGGATTGGATAAGAAAGCCCGCCGCAGGCGCCGAAACAAATGACTTGATGGATTGGGTTGGGTGGATTGGATTTGATGGGATAAGATGGATTGGAGCAGATCAGATGAGTTGGATTGGAAGAAATGGATTGGATAGGACAAGATAGATTGGATTGGCCCGCCGCAGGCGCAGAAACGAACGAATTGATGGATTGGGTTGGGTGGATTGGATTGGGTGGGATAAGATGAGATGGGACAGTATGGGTTGGATAATATAAGATATAGTGGATAGGACAATATGGATTGTATAAGATAAGCTGAATTGGATAACTAAGCCCGCCGCAGGCGCCGAAACAAATGAATTATGAAATTAGCGACATGCGTTGGCGCCGGGACGCCTGGGACACCCGGGACACCAGGGACACCGCCCGGCCCAACTGGGACACCTCCCGGCCACCGGCGGACGGGAAACGGACTTTCGCTCCTATTGACACCTGGGGCACCTGGGACACCGCCCGGCCCAACTGGGACACCTCCCAGCCACCGGCGGAAGGGAACGGACTTCCGCTCCTACTTCGGTCTAGCTACAGTAGGACCACGCGCAGCTTCGCCTCGCCCGCACGCGCGACACGAACACGAAACCGAAACCGATTTCCCGGTGGGGGGTCTCCGTTTCACTGCGATCTCACCCCCCAACCTCAGACAAGGCAGTTCATTATCAAACTTGGGCTCTCACTTGACTGGCGGGCCAATGTGGTGCTGGTCTTTCAGGGGGGGAGCTTCTTGTATTTCCCAGCAAGGCTTGCAGGGACTTGTGATTCGGGGACTGGACGGAAGGGTGCAATGCAGCATCTTCGGTGCATTTTGGGTTTTTTCTGGTCCCTCGTCCTCGTTCTCCTCGTTTTCCGTCCCTCCCTCCCCTCTTCGTTGTCGTCGTCCTCCCTCCTTCCTTCCCTCCCTCTCTCCCTTTCTTTTCTCTCCCTCCCTCGCTCCCTCTCTCCCTGCTTCTCTTCTTCGTCGTCGTCGTCGGCGTCGGCGTCGTCGTCGTCCTCCGCATCCTCCTCCTCCTCCTCCTGCTCCTCCCGGCCCCGGCGTGCCGGCGCCCCCGCCCCCGCGCGCGCGCGGAAGCGCCGCCAGGTGCGCCGACTTCGTGGACCCGTTCTCGGGCCTCCGCCTCGCGGGGTGTCGCCGCGCATAACTTGCGCCCCCCCCCTCCCCCAGAGATCCAACGCATTGACAAAGATCACGACAGAGGTTTTTCGCAGCTCTCGGCCTCCAGGGGCCCCCACCGGGCCCCGGGAGCGTCAAGAAGCGCCTCAGGATGCAACTCCGGTCCCGGGGAAGGGGTCGAGACTTCCAGGAACCCCGTGTTGAAAAAATCACGACGTCGGGGGTTTGGGCCCCCCACGCCCCCCCCCGCGCTGGGGGGCGTCCCCTCGGTGACCCCGGATCGCCTCGGACAGCTCCGGACTGTCTCGGGCAGCCCGTCGGGTGGCCTCGGATCGCGGCGAGCAGGCTCAGGCTGACTCGAGTGTGGCGCAGATGGCGTGGCTCAGGAGGTCCAGGGAATGACCCATAAAAATATTCGACCTGAGGTGGAGCATGCGGAAGGAGCGCTGGGAGCAGCTGATGAGCGGGAAGCGCTTCACGCGCTTCGAGAGACTGAGCTCTGCCGCAGACTGCTCCGAGGACGTCGTCGCTGTGGGGGTTGTGTATGAGAGGGCGCTTCCCAAGACGAGCTCCATGGGCAGCCGCTTCACCCACTGGACGCTGACGGATTTCTCCTGGCCGCAGCCGCGGCTCCTCAAGCTTATGCTTTTCGGAGACGCGTTCGAGGCGTGGGAGACAGATCCTGAGTTGAAGGTCGACAAGGGATCTGCATTCGCCATTCTGAACCCGGTCTTGATGGGCGAGGGCGCCCGCGACGCGAAGAAGGCCGCAGACGATACCAGGTTGTGTGCGAAGATTGGGCACGGGTCGCAGCTGGTGCGACTCGGCAAGTTCCCTTCGCTGGGCTTCTGCAGGTGCCAGAAGAAGGACGGGACGCAGTGCTCCATGCCCTGCGACACCAGCCGCGGCACCCTCGTCTGCTACTACCACTCGCTGCACCAGGCTGCGCAGCAGGTCAAGCGGTGGCAGGGCAAGGCCAGCGGCGCAGCGGTCTCCGGCCAGGCCAGAGGGCCCTCCGCCCGAGGCGACGGCATCTTCGTGCTGCCTGCCCCCGCCGCGGCGAGCGCCACGCCCAGCGCCGCCGCGCCCCCGCGCCCAGCGTTGAGTCGGGCCTGTCCCTCTACAGGAGGAAAAGTAAGACATAGATCAGAGCCTGTCTGGGGACGTTTGTTTTTGTTTTTGGTTCTTGTCCGTGTGACAACTGGT